CCGGCGCCGCTCACCTCCGTCCTCAGAGAAGTCCAGCACCGGCACGGGTCCCTCGCAGGCGCTGACGGGGCCGCGCGCGCTCCCGTCGCCCGGAGCAGAGCGCTGCGCTGCTGCCGCGGCCGCGGGGACGTCAGTGACCCGTTAGCTGCCCCGTCCCAGGGCCCGACCAGCGCTCGCTGCAAGCACTGGTGGGCACCGCAGCACCCACTGCAGCGCCCCGTCCATGCCCAGCACGCCCATGCCCAGCGCCCTGTCCATGCAAGCACTGACGGGCACCGCAGCACCCGCTGCTCCACTGCAGCGCCCTGTCCATGCCCAGTGCACTGGAGCTGCTCGCTGCAAGCTCCAGCGGGCACTGCAGTGCCTGCTGCTCCACTGCAGCGCCCTGCCCATGCCCAGTGCACTGGAGCTGCTCGCTGCAAGCTCCAGCGGGCACTGCAGTGCCTGCTGCTCCACTGCAGTGCCCTGTCCATGCCTGGTGCACTGGGGCCACTTGCTGCCACCGCAGCACCCGCTGCTCCGCTGCAGCGCCCTGCCCATGCCCAGTGCACTGGAGCCACTCGCTGCAGCACTGACGGGCACTGCAGCACCCGCTGCTCTGCTGCAGCGCCCTGTCCATGCCTAGCATGCTGCAGCTGCTCGCTGCAAGCACTGATGGGCACTGCAGCACCTGCTGCTCCGCTGCGGCGCCCTGCCCATGCCCAGCATGCTGGAGCCGCTCGCTGCAAGCACTGACGGGCACCGCAGCACTCGCTGCTCCGCTGCAGCACCCTGTCCATGCCCAGCACGCTGGAGCCGCTCACTGCAAGCACTGACGGGCACTGCAGCACCCGCTGCTCCGCTGCAGCGCCCTGTCCATGCCCAGCATGCCGGAGCTGCTCGCTGCAAGCACTGACGGGCACCGCAGCACCCGCTGCTCCGCTGCGGCGCCCTGCCCATGCCCAGCATGCTGCAGCTGCTCGCTGCAAGCACCGATGGGCACCGCAGCACCCGCTGCTCCGCTGCAGCGCCCTGTCCATGCCCAGCACGCTGCAGCTGCTCGCTGCAAGCACTGACGGGCACTGCAGCACCCGCTGCTCCGCTGCAGCGCCCTGCCCATGCCCAGCACGCTGCAGCTGCTCGCTGCAAGCACTGACGGGCACTGCAGCACCCACTGCTCCGCTGCGGCGCCCTGCCCATGCCCAGCATGCCGGAGCTGCTCACTGCAGCACTGACGGGCACCGCAGCACCTGCTGCTCCGCTGCAGCGCCCTGTCCATGCCCGGTGCGCCGGAGCCGCTCGCCAGCTCCGTACCTGCTGCTCTGTCGGGGTGCCGCTCCTGCGAGAAGCGCGTGGGCGACAGGCCCGCGAGCTCCAGCATGAAGGCTCCGGAGGCGTGGGGCGTGCACGTGTTCATGCGGAAGTCCTTGCGGCTCGCCAGGATCTCGCCCTTGCGGCTGGGAGCGAGGAGGCCTTGGGGACGCCGTGGACGCGCTCTGCGGCGCCCCGGGAGCCCGCACGCCGACGGAGGGGACACCGCGAGCACGGCGCGGAGCCCGGGGGGCACCCACGAGGGCGCCCGGGAGCTGCCCGGTCCTGCCGCTCCTCCCTCGCGCTCGGCCACCCCTGCGCTGCCCAGAGCAGCCCCCAGCTCTAGTGGAAACGGCCACAAACCGGAGCCCCAAAAGCTCCCCAGGGACTAAAGGAAAATGTCAGGACAGGGAGGGTGCCCAGCCCTGGAGCGGGCTGCGCAGGGAGCGCCGGGATGCGCCCGGGTGCCCCGTGCTCCGGGTGTCCCTGCGGGAGCAGGGGCTGCGCCGGGGGAGCCCTGGGGTCCCTGCCACCCTGCAGGGTTCTGGGATATTCACCAGCTCCCTGGAGCCCTTGGGATCACTAGCCTTTCCAGCGCCGCTTCCACGGCGCCTGCGCAGGGCAACCGGAGCGCACAGCCCCAGGGGTGCCACGGGGCACCGCCAGTCGGCACCCACCTGAGCAGAGGGTTGTTCCTCTTCTCAGCCTCCTCGGCGGGCACCAAAGCCATGGGCGTCAAGGGGACGATGTCCACAGTCTGCAAGGACAGGCGGGCACGCGGGGGCCGCTGGCGCCGGGCGTCGCAGAGCGGCGCTGCGGGCGCCGCGGGCGCTACCTGGGGCTGCTGGTCCCTCCGCATGTCCACGCTGGCCTGGCTCGCGTCCCGCAGGTCGTCCAGGGAGAGGAAGGGCTGCGGGAGGCGCGGCGGTGAGCGGGCGCGCGGCGGGRCCGGGCGCCCGGCGCTGCACGTGCCCGGCGCGGTGCATGGCGCAGCTGCAGGAGCTGCACGGGCGGCGCACGGGCACGGGCAGCGCGCCCCGTCACGAGGCAGCCCATGCAGAGGGCCAAGGCAGAGCAGCCCGAGGCAGCGCTGCAGGGAGGGCACCGCTCGCGTGGGCAGGAGGCGCGTGGCAGCGGAGCCCCTTAGGGCACGGAGAAGGGCATGGAGCGGGGACACGTGCGGTGCGTGTCCCTCCTCGGGCACCCATGGGGTGCACAGGGGTACAGAACAGGGACATAGGGGGTGCAAGTCCCTCCTCGGGCACCTGTGGGGTGCATAGGAGCACGGAGTGGGGACACGTGGGGTGCAAGTCCCTCCTTGGGCACCCATGGGCACACAGGAGCACGGAGTGGGGACACGTGCGGTGCGAGTCCCTCCTCGGGCACCCATGGGCACACAGGGGTACAGAACAGGGACACATGGGGTGCGTGTACCTCCTCGGGCACCCATGGGCGCACAGGAGCATGGAGTGGGGACACGTGGGGTGCGTGCCCCTCCTCGGGCACCCATGGGCGCACAGGAGCATGGAGTGGGGACACATGGGGTGCGTGTCCCTCCTCGGGCACCCATGGGCGCACAGGCAGCCGGGCACGGAGTGGGGACACGTGGGGTGCGTGTACCTCCTCGGGCACCCATGGGCGCACAGGCAGCCGGGCACGGAGTGGGGACACATGGGGTGCGTGTCCCTCCTCGCGCACCCATGGGCACACAGGAGCACGGAGTGGGGACACGTGGGGTGCGTGTCCCTCCTCGCGCACCCATGGGCGCACAGGCAGCCGGGCACGGAGTGGGGACACAGAGGGTACAAGTCCCTCCTCGTGCACCCATGGGCGCACAGGCAGCCGGGCACGGGCCCGGCGGCACCGCGCGGCGCCCTCCTCACCTCTTCGTGCTCGGGCCCGAAGCTGGCGTCCGCGTCCTGGCCGTCCTGCCCGATGGAGCTGGGCTGCTTCTCCCGCCTGGCAGGGAACAGAAGCGCGAGCGGGCGCGGGCCGGGGGTGCCCGGGCCGGGAGGCGGTGCCGGATCGCTGCAGCACCGCGAGCACCATCCCCAGGCCCCAGGGCTTCCCAAATGGAGCATCCCGCGGGGAAGCGGAACAGTTCCCACCGGGAGCCAAGCAGGAGCCTCCCGCCGTCCCCAGGGAAAGGGCTGGGAAGGACCTGGATGGCGACGGCAGAGGGGATCCGGCCTGCCCAGTGCCACAAGCACGTCCTGCCCGTTCCAGCTCCCAGCCGGGAACCGGAGCGGAAAGGCGGATTCGCGCCCAGGCAGCCGCGCGGGCCGGGAGCAGCCGGGCGGGAAGCTCCGCGCGGCCTCGGCCCGCTCCGGCCCCAGCTCCAAGCCGGCCCGCCCCACGGAGCTGCCGGCGACATTCCTGCCGCCGGGACCGGCCGGGAAGGCTCCTTCCTCGGGGAGGCTGCTTTGCAGGGCTGGGCCAGGGGCCTGCGCGAAGCCCCGCCAGGAAAACAGCGGCTTGTCTGCACCTTGCACGGTTCTATTTGCCCCCGGGGGCAGTTCTATTTGCCCCCAGGTGGCACAGCTCTATTTGCCCCAGGGGCAGTTCTATTTGCCCCTGGGTTGTGCAATTCTATTTGCCCCCAGGTGGCACAGCTCTATTTGCCCCCAGGTTGCCCAGGTTGCACAGTCCTATTTGCCCCTGGGTTGCACAGTTCTATTTGTCCCGGGGGCAGTTCTATTTGCCCCCGGGGGCAGTTCTATTTGCCCCCGGGCCGCACAGCTCTATTTGCCCCCAGGTTGCCCAGGTTGCACAGTCCTATTTGCCCCTGGGTGCAGTTCTATTTGCCCCCAGGTTGCACAG